GACGGTAGTGCTAAGCGAACAGTTAAATTTTAAAAGCGCGGTTATAAGATCTAACAGATCTTCTTGTTCTTCTTATCTTGGCGTTATGTTGACCCCGAAAAGGACTTGTTTCTGCTGAAAGGAAACTTTGTTTATAGACAAAACACTGTTTACGGTCTGACACACTCAGTTGTTGAAGGTAGTTTCGAGGAACGGAACTAAACAATTCATGACAAACTGTAAGGTAAGTAGAGTTTAAAAGTGCTGTTTTATGTATTTAATTAATATAAGCGTGTTAAGTCATCGTGAAAAGTGAAAAAAAGTGAAAAGCAATTGATTCTCTGTGGCAATTGTGCGACATAGATAAAATCTGTGATCATTTTCGGAATGATAAAAATGTGTCCTTCAAAGCGTGTAATTTTCGCCTTGAAGCTTAAAGAACGAGGTATACACGACAGTTGAGAAGTAGTCAGAGGAAAGTCACTATCAATCCGTGCTTACTTTTCCGAGTCTCGTAAATGTTACATATTTCTCACCGCGTACAAGGTACCGCGTAGCCAACGTAAAACACAGAAAGGACCCAATTTTGATTCCCAATTTATCTGTTGCATGAATAAATTACATATTTCAACTTGAATTTTACGTAAGTTTCAGCGTACTGCGTAGCCGGCTACAAAGAACTCAGTTCGAGTGGCAGGGTATTCTACAGTTTTTGGAAGAAGGTAGAACGGACACCACTGGTGGATAACGGTCGGTAACGAAGATATGGAACCACTAGACTTTCGTTATCAGGTAAGCTAAAGTGTTGCGCACGCATAAGGCCGTCAGCCTGTTCTCTGCGACTGTTCTACAACTCAGTTTTACAACTGTTCTAATTAAAAGCTCCGTACACGGTGCATAGAATTGCGGTCGTTTCGCCCGAAAGTCAGTATGATAGTCAGTTCGCCCGGACTGTTAGCTCCGTAGACAATGGATTAAAGAACGAGAAATAGGCATCTTTCGTGACCTTTTGTGTAATTTTGTTTCACTAAGCCCACATTAAGTTGTCATTAAGTTGTCTTTTACGCTCAGTTAGTTTAAAGAAAGAACTTTGAACTTTCAGTTCGGGTGAAGGGACTTTCAGTCCGAGTGAGCAAACTGGCATCGGGCGAAACGACTGGGTTGATACTGGTACTTACAGGACATTTGTCCGGTGGCAGGAATTTGGAAAGTAGAGGTTGGAAAGTAGAATTAAA